GCAAATGGCTGCAATATAACAAAGAGTGAAAAATTTAAGGGGGTCTGAATACTTTCCGTACCCACTGTATATAACAGTCGATACAGCTCATCAATAAATGGAGAAAGATGTCTTAACATCATTTATAAAAATCAAACCCAGACAGTACGTTAACTAAAGTTATTTACATGCTTTGCATTTAAAGAAATGAGAAGCATCTTTATACATGATTAAGACCATGTGTAAGGAAAGTTGTTTTATTACAATGTTCTATTTACGGGTGGGAATCTTTATGCACCTCACAATCTTAACTGATCTAACTAAGATTCTCGGAATCGCAATCAGATTCAAAAATGATTCCTTTGATTTCGTTTAAATCTTTACAGACAAGGTCCAGTTCTGTTGCTTGCATGCCCATTCTAGGGGCTTTCGGCTGTGGACAGGGTTCATCATAGGCACTCTGACTAGTCTACACAGGTCCATCATTAAAATTGCTCCCACATAGACCTTACCATTGCAATTGTCAGAATGGATTCAATCACTTAAGAGACAATAACAATACATCAGAGAATCAATTTTTTTTCTCTCCAACCCCTAGTTATATTTAATATAAATAGTGTGTACATTTCCAATGAAAAGTTTTAATGCATTTGGAAAAATACAGAATCTCTCTCTCTCTTTTCTTTTTTTTAATTTGAGCGAGACAAGTATGGATGCCTAAATCTGTCTTCCATACCAACTGCCATAAATATAACAAGTATTTAGTTCTCTTTTAAATTATTGCATTAAAATGTTAATTATATTAACCGTTATTATTTTAATTTAATGACAGATCTATTCTGAACCCTTTAATGCATCAGTGATAAATGACATCTTTCGGAGACCATCAAAAATCTGACAGCTACATGGAGAACAGGGATGCTGTGATGAAGCTCTGCCAAAGTTAGGTGTTTAAAAAATGGTGTGAAACATTAAAATACACTCTATAGGTGTTTTAGTGTGGTTCCCTTACCGTGCAGCACGAAGTAAACTCAAAGCTTCAGGTCCTGTGCGAGACATAATAGAGTCTTGAATCCTGACCAATGCTTCTGTCCTCTGCTCACCCACTGGAGTCTCAGATGTGGCATCAAAGGGCACAGCACCCTCTGTCAAACTCTCTGACAACTGCAAGCCAACATGAAAAACATCACGAACTTAGTGTGTTCATATGCACAAGAAGCTAAGACTATTTGAAAAATCAGATCATCCATTTCTGCTCACTTTGATCTTTATAAATTTTTATTAACAAAATGGTGTGTGAAATGTTTCCAATTGAAATATTCATAGCTTTAATACACAACCATTTTGAATTTCAGCCCCCAAAAAAGCAAGATCAAAAAATAAAACGCATTAAAATGCAAGAACTGGTATTGCAATGTATTATTACATTTTTTTTTTAATTAGTGAAAAAAAAAAAAAAAAAAAAAAAAACAAATTTAAAGGGTTAATTTAACCCTTGCTATTCTACTCTTAGCATATTGGGCTTGACAGGTCTACTAATTTTTTAACAGCTGGAAATTCCCAACTCACTCTTCTCTCTGCAAAAATAATTTAAATTTCATGCACTTACACGCTTCCTGCAAAACTCCTAGTTGTAGTCATTTATTACCCTCCAGGTCACCTGGGCAACTTTCTAGAGGTGCTGGATATGCTTTTAACCTCACATCCTGAGGATGACAGCCCACTTTTAGCCTTAGCGACCTAAGCCTGTTCACTTTTCTGATGATATTTTTATTACTGTTATGTAATGTCCTTCTTGTGTACCTTAAACCCCTCTGCCAGTTTTATTCTGATAAAAGCTTTAACTCCCTTTCTTTTCCCCTCTGTAGCAGCATCCTCTCTTCATCACTAACACCACATCTGTCAGTTGACAGACCAATCATCAAAGTGAAACTATCCACTTTGACAATGAGTTTTCCCTCGGAAATGAAAGTAGTGGTGTTCGGCAATGTACCTCAAAAACGCCTCATCATAATGAACTGATCAATGGCCACTCCCTGCAAGGATCTGCTGAGGATTGCTTCCATAAGATCTTCACAGGAAAGAGAAGGAGAATGAGGGGCATAACTGTTGTGATTGGTCTGTCAACTGACAGAAGTGGTGTTATTGTTGCTCCCAGGATTAGTCACCTCCGAGGCGATTCCCATAGTGAGATATCAAATGAATGTTTGAAAGAACTCTTTAAAACATTCAAAACTTTCCTCTGCCACTTCCACGATCTTCCACCACATCTTTAACAGCTGATGATTTTGCAAATTTTTTCATAGTCAAAACTACAACAATGAGAAATCAGTTCTCAGCTTCACAAAGGCAGGAACAAGTCCACATTGACAGCTAAAAATCTCCTGGTACCCAGGGTGGTTGCTAGGGTGTTTCTATGCAGTTTCTAGGGTACGTGGGTAGTTGCTATGCAGTTGCTAGTGTAGGCAGGGTGGTTGCTAAGGGGTAATGCGGTTGCTAGGGTACTCAGGGCAGTTGCTAGGGTGTTGCTATGCAGTTACTCTGGCTGGTTGCTAGGTTGGGTTTGGATGGTTGCTAGAGTGTTGCTATGTGGTTGCTAGGGTACTCTGGGTGGTTGATAAGGTGTTCCTATGCGGTTATTAGGGTACCATGGGTGGTTGCTGGGTTGGTTTGGATGGTTGCTAGAATGTTGCTATGAAGTTGCTTGTATCATCACATTGCTAGCACGATTGAGATAGATACTACTAGTTCTATAGATACAGGGCTCCAGACTGCGACCAAATAATCACATTTTGCGACCATTTATCCTGCTGGTGCGACAATAATTTTTTTTTAGAGGTTGCACTGGTGCGACTGCAAAATTTTTATATAATTATATTTAAAATTAATGCACAGGGCGATTTTGTTAACGGCACATCCAGTCAGTATCTGTTTTCGCTTCCCCTCCCCCACTATTCTATCATCCTCTCAGGTATACCCACTCACTCAGCCTGGTTTATACTTGCTAGGTATACCCACTCACTCAGCCTGGTTTATACTTAAGATTCAGCATGAGCGCGAAGGTGCGTGCAGCAAAAATGACGTGAATATTGAGGAAATGATGGATGTTTTCAAGATAAAGTAAAGTAAAAGACCGATTCTTAAACCAGAGAAGGTGAACATGTTGGTATTCTTGTGGGGAAAAAAAACATGCAAGCACCGTCACCGACAGCAAATTTAGTTTTACTTTTCTTTGTTTTCATTTTGAAAAGCTTGTTATCTTTGCTGCTTACCTCAAGTTACACTATGGGGGCTCTCTTTTATTCATTTATTTTTTTTAATTGGATTCCTCAGTGTTTGCTAAACGTTCTGTAAATTTATTAGACGGTATATAATACAGCATGTGGTGTATGCCATGCCTCATCTTATTCTTTTTGTTAATAAACGTTTTGTAAGCTAGTTTGTCATTGTATCTTACGGTTTTATTGTTGCTGTGATTTTTTATTAAGAATAACAATGAATCCATCTTTTGTTTTAGTCTTAAAAGTGAAAGGTGTGTAGATGTATGTAAGCAAAACAGACAATTATCTTTTCTTGTAAAACGTGACAACAAGATTGCAAATTCGAAAGTGAAAGCGTCCGAAGCTCGGCTTACAACATAGCAAAAGAGGAACTCCCGTTCACAAAATTCAACTGAGAAAGTTAGTCGCAAAAGAGCGACCAGTGGGAAGAATGAGTCTGGAGCCCTGAGATAGATATATTAGAAACAGTATATAGATAGAAAGATAAATTAGAAATATTAGGTAGAATGGAAGCTTAAATGAGCTTAAATGGCTTAGAAATTAGTACATAGAATGGCAGCTTAATTGAGTCTCAAGGGATTCTGGGAGTTAAAATTAGAATTCTGTCAGTTGGAGTTTGAATAGTCTTGGCGCATTTGAACATTAGTTCAATGTAAGTCTATGAGATTTTTATGATTTTTTCTCTTCATTTTTATGAAAACCGTAAGTTTGATCCGAAAAGATATAGCAACCAGAGTCAGAACAGTTTGAAGATCTGGGCTGAGTTTGGAGGTCGTAGCTTGAGAGCCCTAGGAGGAGTTAGAGTTGATAAATTTAGGCCACGTACACACTGCAAGTTTCAGGAGTGACAATCGTATTTAAATGCGGGAGTGAGTCCCATAAATTACCGTTCCATGTGTGTACAAAACATGACTCACTCCCGAAACTGCCATGAATGGCAGCGTGGTAACCATAGCAACGTTGTGGCGTCTCGGAGACAATGGAGCCCTTAGCTAGTTTTATGTTAGCTGCTGTTGACAAAAACATTAGACAGCAAAGATATGCGAAAATCTGCAAAACGTTATTAAATCGCCTTTGGGAGAGGCGTCAATCTAGTTTTATTTAAACTGTTGTTATTGAACAGCCTACACTCTTGACCGCAACTGGTTGGTCCACAATATACCTCTCTCCTCCATCCTGTCAGATCTGAAGTAAACACTTGACGCCTGACAATACACGCACATCGGTGTGCTTCTCGTGACATCATCATCAAATAGTTGTTCAGTTCGGTTCCGTACACACTGCACAGAATTTCTGTAAATGCGGTTGTCGCTACCTGTATTTTTCGGGAGTTAATGCGGTTTTGCTCCCCCATATTTTAGTGAATTATGTGTGTACACAACGCGATTAAGGAGTAAAAGTTGACTGACAACCGAATTTAGCTGTAGTGTGTATGTGGCCTTAATCTCAGAAGAATAATAAGTTTAAATACCATTTCAGTAAATTGGCTCTCAAGCCGTAATTTCAACTGAAACAGGAAGACAGGGCGGGACTTTGAGCAGCCCCACCCGCTTTTTAAAATAGCCAATAGCGTTTCGTTTATAGTATCACAGCTTGGGCCAGAGACTTTGAGCTCGCTAAAGCCGCATTTGACAGCTTATGACAACCACAGTCTAATAGATTAGCCCTTTAGATTCAATATTAAACTGTTACTAAAGCAAAACAGTAATTATAATAATGCTGAGGATGTGTAGTTTGAAAATTGTGTCATTTATGTTGGCAGGCTCATTTCGAGGCATATTTCGCCTAGAGCACCACCAGCAGGAGGGGCCGCCAATGAGTGCACGTACTGGCACTACATTTTAGCAGGGTTGTTATAAAGAGTGGCAAGGCCAACCAGAAATATGACTACCACCCCCACTGGATCCCCCAACATCATTGGGCTAGAGTACTGTCAATCTGACGATGCCTGTATGCCAGTGGTCAGAGCGCTGTCAATTGCTGCCAGATTGTTGCATGCAAAGTTTGCATTTGGAGCACTCAACACTGTTAGATCAATGGGTTCTGTCCATTCTTTGGCCAAGTAATGCTTTTTTTTTGCCATGCAATAAAGCTAAATTCAAAGGCCAATTTAAGATATTGGTACTGTAAAAAGTGCACAAAATGAGTATTTTGATAAAGCAGTATTTGTGGCAGTCGAAAAAATCATGCTGCAAAATTGGTCCAAAAGGTGTGCATTTCTGCGCCAATGCATTGTTAAACGATCAGTGTGTTGTGTAATATTCTCATATAAAACTTTAACAGCCAATTAAAAAATATTGATATAGTAAAATTTGATAATTCACAAGATCAACACATCCTTTAATAAACTGCTTTGTTGAATTGAACGCATCCTTCGGAAGTGTTGAAATGATGAATTAATTCATTCACTACTAACAGCACTTAATGGGAGCATTTAAAGAATGCTCATTTAAAGAAGTTGTTCAAGCGCCAGTGAGTAACAAAGGAATAAGTAGCTGGATTCTGATTACTTTTATGCGACTGATCAAGCTTTTTTATGTAGTTTGGGGTAACAAAGGGTTTTATAGGTTTGACTGAAATAATAATGGAAATTGTTTTTTTTTTTTTTTCAACGTTTATCAATGTTTCAAACAACAACAACAAAACTATTAAACAAAAAAACTGATCCAAAGTAATAACATTTATTTTTATTTTTTCGGGGGCGTCAATAGGGATTTCGCCTAGGGAGTCAAAATGGCTAGAAACGGCCCTGTATGTTGGTGCAGGGCACAGGTGTTATCTCTTCTACTGATCTGATCGAATCGAATCTGATCAAATCTGATCCAAATCGCTCTAAAATAATAGCATTCTGTGTAGAACTCAAAAGGGTACGATACATTTTGT